GTCAACGTTTGTTTAAACCATACCATGAATGAAGTCAGCATTCAGCATTTGGATCAGAAAGGGAAAAAAAAAATGTCTGAAGAGCAAATAAAAGAAACAGGTGTTGCATGAAATGACAAGTAGAATAATTGAATTGCTGAGCTTTAAACAGAAAAGAAGAACCATTATATGAATAAAAAAAAAGGTGACCCGAAGTTGCAATATTTGCCAGTTTAAATACCTCTCTGTTCTATTTCCTTGTCTGCTGGTTGGTTTGCTGTGTAGCTCAATAGAGCTACCCCACCTCCAGCTCAAACTGCACCTATGTCTCTACAATTAACACCTTGGAAGGAGTATGGCAGCATCTGAATAAATAAATTAATGGAAAATTGGCAAATCTGTGAACAGTAACTGAGGAACAGCTATTTCACTAAAACCAAAGTCAAGTCAGTGTGTTCTCTCACTAGGCCAAAAAAAAAAAATGTTCCTTTCTTGGGATTAAAGCAGCTCTACTAAATGAGCCTGGCTGTGATTGACGCTTTAATTGACTGGCACAATTTCATGCCTTAATACCTCTGGGCTTTTCAGTTTAGCCATGAATAAATTTAACTGTTAAGTCCTTGCATATAAATCCTCTTGGTTGGAAGCTCCTATTCTCTGTTTAAAATGTAAACTTGGATTAACGAGACTCGCTGACATGTCAGGAGCTGGATGCACTAATCTGCTGCATCACCTGCCCAACGTGATTCCAACCAGTTCCCCCAGGTCTTTCCCTTCTGGACCACCACAACCAGATGGCAAAGGTCACCATGTGGGATGTTTCTGGCTTCTCTCCTGCTCCCTTTTATCTTTCACATAGGTATTAACCTTGTAGGTCTGGTTTGTGATGGTAGTGCCCTTCTTCCTTGGGTTGGATGAGCCTACAGTAAAGAAAGATGAAATACAGCTCCTAGGCAGATCCTCTGTTTTGGGCTGTATTTTTGGCTTTTTCATCTTTTTTTCTCTCTGCTCTCTTCATGTGTCTGTGTCTTCTAGTTCAGTAATCACAGCTGGTTCCTGGATCCAAAATTTCTTTTCCAGATGTGTCCTCCTCCTCCTCCAGCACCTTTAGATTCATTAGGAAAAAAGCTGCAGCTGAAAAATCAAGTGAGGTCGACCATTCGGTCCATATGCTGTGAGTCTGTCAGTCCTGAGAGGCTTTTGTGTTCCTGTCTCTACATCACCACATGCAATTGGATCACTCAGGAGTCCAAGACCACGTTTGAGTGCTGATGAAAAAGCCCATTTCCTCCAAAAATACCTTATATTAAGCAAGAAACCCCCATTCCTAAGAGATGCATACCCAGGTTCCCCTGATCCCTTTGGGCTGTAACTTCCACTCCAGGGAAGCAATGCTCATTAACTGAGATGCAAATACCACGAGTTCAACATTTCCAGAGCACAGCAGATGCACTGAATATGTTCATCTTTACTTAGCTGTGGTATCTGGATGTTAGATAGCCCTTTCAGAATGGCTGATCCAGCTGGACTGCTAGTTGCTCCCTGATGAGCTGAAGAAAAGCAGAAGCAAAGAGGAGGCGACCAGGTAACATCCATTAATGGGCCACACAGGGACAGATGCACAGTCTCTGAAGTCCTACAAGGGAAGAGAAGGATTCAGATGGGCCCAACAACCACTGTATGACCCAAAGTTCAACCAGAAACAAAACTCCCTGATCAACATACTTGCATGATGAGTGGAGCCTATTTCCATGCTCCTCATGTTGGACTAGCTGACCCTTAAAGGTCCATTCTAGTGCACACAAATCTATGTTTCTAAGCTTTTGTGTTTCTGTGATTCTATGTCAGAGTCTTTCAGCCAAGATCTGGATATAATGCTCAGCTTGGTGGTGTTGATTTAAAACACACAGCACTGGCAGGCTTCCTCCCTGGTGAGCATTAAAGCACCAGTGAATGCTGTTAAAGCAGATGGTTGGTTCCTGTAAAATGTATATATATCATGAGTGCTTGCCAACATATAAGTTCTTAAAATGTTTTTCAGAACTGTCTTCGTGTTGTAGGAATGGAATCCCTGAGGAAAACATGAACGATTGGCTATCTTAGGCTGTGCTCAAGGAAAGTGGCTGTGGTTTTCTCATGCAGCATGTCTACCGCCCATTAAATCATGCAGACAAGAAGCAAGGCTCCCATCTGTTGGCTATCTTTCTGCCTGGCAGCAATTTTGCCTTGCTATGATGTAAGAAGCAGATAGGAAACGCTTGGGTTTTGCTGTTTTGTTGTCATCGGCTGCACTGCGTTGCTTCTCTTTTGAGATGGGATGTGGGTAAGCTCCATCTCAAACCTAAGCTTTGACCATGCTAATCCTAAAACCACACTTTGTCCCTTTTGTTAATAAAATAAGAAGCTGGAGATGGCATAAACAAGAGAAATTATTTGCATTTCTGTAGCATTTTTTGCCCACTATTCTATAACAATCTCTGTCACACTTCATTGGATGCCAACCTCTGACTATAGAAATTTCTAGTACTAAAGACTTTTCTTTCCCCAAATGGATGCACTTTTATGGTCACAATGAGGGATCCCTGTGGAAGAGAGGGAATCAACAGGACCAGATAAATGGTTAAGATAGGCTGGATGCAACCCAAACAGCACCGGTCATCAAGCCAACACAAGCACAAGCCTGTAAATCTCATTTGGCTTTTATGCCTGTGACTGGCAGATGTATTCAACATGAATTCCTGTGTGTACAAAGGAGTGCTGCTCTTTTCTGATAAGGAAGGGTTTGCTCAATGTGGGATCACCCTTTGCTCCTTGGAAGCCCCATCCAAGTGCTTGAATATGCCTGGGTGGCTCAGATCCAGGAGGTCATCTCTGGAGGTTTTCAAGAAGAGCAGATGTCACATGGAGTGACGTGGTTTAGTGGTACGGTGCTGATGAGCTGATGGTTGGACTGGATGAATTACGTATTCCAAAGAAGTTGCAGCAAGACCTCAGGACACCATGGGTCTCCAGCTTAACCCCACATAGGTCATTGTAGGCTCTCACTTCATTCTTCAGGCTGTCCAACTACACTCACTTCCCCAAATCAAAGAACTATACAGCCAGGTTGCAGTGCTGTGCAGATGGACAGGAGTCAACACACCTCACGTCTGTCATTAGGCTAATTGCAATGGTTAATTACCCAGCTTTTCCTCAGAATACATGAGGACCTCGAGTCACCACTCTTGGCATCTCCAAATTTTTCTCTTTCTCCACATTCCACTGTGGTATTTAGATACAGACCCTGCTGCTTTCTCAGGAGACAGCATTCGGTGATAAAAGGGGCTTTTTAAATCACTTGTTTGCAAGGGAAAGAGGCAACAGAAACAGACTCTTTTTGTTGGGGATGGTGGGAGGAAGCTAAAAGATGACAGCGGTGGAAAACCGCACCAGCTCTTTTCTACGCTTCATCTGCTGCTTTATTAGTGCTCCTAAATCTGGTTTGCTAAATATAAACATACCCAAATTTACATAAACTTCATTAAAAGCTTCTGTCTCAACTCTGCTGCTCCTGTAACACACCCAGGAAATGGAGAACTTCAAAATCCTTTGCAATTGAATAACCCACTGCAAGAGAAACCAACCAACACATTAAGGGTAAATTTGGCAGTTTGTTTTTATTTTTATCCCCTGCTTTGTTTCTGCAAACATCTGCCTGTGCTTCCACAGCTTGCATTTGGCTTTTGTCTTGCAGGTGGCTTGCCTTTCCTTTTGGCATTCACATCTCCAGGGTCTTTCCTGTCCAAATTTGGAACAAAGTTTCCCACCTCCTAATATCGGATTAAAAAGCAGAAGAGGAAAGATGATAAAAGAGGAAATGTGAGGTGCATTTCTCTTCTAGCTGCTTTTATTTCCCTACTTGTCCTGCAACTCCTTTCATCCTCAGCAAGGCTGGATGAAGGTGCAGAGGACATAATGATAAATGACACTACTGGACTTGGGTGTATACCCATAAGTAAGAGAACCACATTTCTGGTTGGTTAGCACCTAAACCTAAAGGAGAGTGTCTGGCTGGTTGTTCTTGCTGAATCCACAACTGCCAGTTTCTATTTGGGATCTCACAAGGGTTTACTGGGATTTGAGGTAGATAGACACAAGATATAGGCCACATAGACCTAAAAGAGCTGCTTTTCCACCCACCATCTCTGCATCAGTGCTGGAGAAACAAACAAGAAGGGAATCTGCTGGAATATTTGGAGAGGATCAAGTTCACCATCGTGATGTCACAGCCAACATATCCTCTACATGCCTCTCTTCCTTCTGTTTTGGGAGAGCTCTGGAGGGAAGAGATCTGAGAGCACCACAGTTTCATGCAGTGTTGGCTAAAAAGCAGGTGGATGAGATGACTTTCTCATCCAGCAGCAGGGAGTAAGGAAAGAGGTGAGGATAAGGGATTTGGTTATATGCCATTCCATCAGCAAAGTCCACTTTGCTCTCACCCTTCTTATATGCCTCAAACACTGTTGGGAACAAGCTGCCCCCTCCAAGGTGCCCATCAGCAGAAGCTGCTCCCACTGGAGTTCTCACAAGATATTCCAACTTGTGCCCACACCTCTCCCACCTATTTCAAACACTCATGACAGTTTGAAGGAGAGAGTGGGTTGCTGTTGCTGCAGCTCTACCGTATGTCCTCCACCATGCTCCTTCCCCAGCTGTCTCCTTGTAGCTGGGCACTCATCCAAGGCAACCTCTTGGTAGGAAAACGCTGAGCTGTGCAAGCCTGAACCTCTTGTGTAAACCTTAAACCTGGTTTCTGGCCAAAAACCCCCTTCTGGACAATGGCAGAGAGATTCTAACACATGCAAATGATCCCAGAATAACCCTGAGTCCTGTACTTGGGATGTTTCCAAGAGCTATGATTACAGCAAGGAGGGCACTGATCTCTCCTTATCTCCACCTTTAGCTCTCAAACCATCAGGTGCCTTAACCAGATGGATTTGCTTAATGACATGGATGTAAGGAATGGGTTTAATGAAGTGAATTCAGTCCAGCTGTGGTAGGGACAACAAATAGGATGCAGCTCTTTGCACTGAGAGCATGTGGTCTTTGGGAAATCAAATTCTCCATTAGAATACTAGTACTGGAATAATTCAGCTCCCTGGAAAGTGAAAATGGGAGGAAGCATCAACCCTGGGAGGAATTTCCATGGGGGACTGAGGTAGGTCCCACTGGAGGGAGGATGGGTACCTGGAGTCTTTGGTGGATGCCAAGAAGTCCCAATAAAGATGCAAACTGTTAATTATTGAGGGTGCAAATTCCTTTCCTTTCTTCCTAAGGGCTGCATTAAAGATATTTGGAGACAAAACATCCTTGCTGTGATCGTCTGTGCGCTGTGGGTCGTCTGGATGTGGTCCTCAGTGATTTGCCATCCCACAGTCAGAAAATTCACTTCCTAACACTGTGATAAAGGGGGAAAAGAAAACCCAACTCAGGATTTGGTGTCTGCAGCAAAGAGCCCTCCAGATTCAAGTATTTCCTTCTACTGGAGTAAATTATGTTTTATGACTATAATTAACTGGGAGCTAGCACACACTGCGCTGGTTTAAAGCTGACTCAATGCTGTCTGAGAAGCACAGTGTGATAAAACAACATTCAAATCAGCTTCTTAACTAAGCTGGCAAGTGACACAATCTGGAGACCGATGCCAAGAGGAAGTGGAGGTTTGCAAAGCCCCAGGCACAAGGAGGGATTTCAAGGGTTGGAAGTGTTTTGTTTAAGGATCTGGTTTCCAAACCACAGTCCATGGATGGGTCGTGGCTTTGGAAAAATAGATGTCCCCCAGTGAGTTATTTCTGTTGCCAATAGTATGTACCCAAAAGCATTGGAGAAATATGCTGGTCTGTAAAGATTGGAGGCCGCAGCTGCTGGGCATGGGTGAAGGCAGATGAAATAGTGAGTGCTTTGGGTTAAAATATTAAGTTTTTCTGCCTAACACTAGCTCTGTGTGGAAAATTACAAGGATAGGTGTATCTGGATGGAAACCAGCTCCTAGCCTCTCTTCTAACTGCATTTTACACTGGATTATGAAACAGGAAAGGGAGGAAGGAGCTGCTATAAGATTTGACATTTTTGTTGATGTCATTAGGTATACAGGGAGGAAAAAAAGGCACAACCAAGTCTAACAGCTGTTTGGTCTCATCTTTATTATTGTGACTCCAAGATGGAGATAAGCAGATCTTTCCTTATCTTGTTTAAATTTGCAGGGATGTTTGGCAGTTTTTAGGCCATTAACTGCACTTCTCAATGTTTTGCCCAATGCCCTCAGCAAAAGCACTAGAAAGGTCAAGGCCTTCACTTTCCAAACCAATGTACAAGAGGTAATGGTTTTCAGTTGCACCAGGGGAGCACCAGGTTGAATTTTAGGAAAAATTTCTTCTCCAAAAGATTGGTTGGGCACCAGGGAGCTGGTGGAATCACCATCCATGCAGGAGTTCTAGAGCCGTGAAGATGTGGCATTGAGGGACACAGTGGGCATGGTGGGATGGGTTGGGGTTGGACATGGTGATCCTAGAGGTCTTTTTCAACCTTAATGACCTTCTGATTCTATGAGCTAACCCAGAATTCATCCCTGTGCTGCAAAGCTCCAAGCAAACAGCCAAGTGGCATCGTTACTGATAGGAAAACAGTGCTGAAAGCTTGAATCACCTGAGCTAAAACAGTAGTGGGTGGGCTAATGAGCCCTAGCACCACCCAGAGAGCACCTGTGTCTCTCCTAGCCCTATATCACGTTTCTCTCCTTGCCATATGCAGCCATACTCTCTGCGGTGATGTTCACAGAAGGCATTATCCATTGCTTCTTGGAAAATGTTGTGGTTTTGAAGGTATTTGACATTTATGGTGTTGGGAGAGGAATTATAATGCCTATAACTATGTCTTTCCTCTAACAGGCTGTTTGCTTGCTGCTGAATATAATTTTGTTAACTGCCACAAACCAGCAAGAAAATTGTTTTCTTTCTACGTGATAAAGAACAACCTATAAAAAGACTGAAATTGAAGTGAAACATTTTGCTTGAGTGAAGAGGAGGAAGTTTTCATTGGCCTGATGGAAAACTTGCATTTTTATTTGTGGGTAAGATTGGAAAGTTTATCCTATCTGGAACAAAACTCAGTATCAGAATTGCAGATTTCTGTACAGCTTATAGCAATAGTTTTCCCTTTGGCTCTCAATGTGGTGATGAGAATTACCTCCATGTACAGCCAAGTTGGTTGACTCACCAGAAGGGGTGGGTATTGTTTGTTTGCCTAAGGATTAGATTTAAACTCACTGTTAGCAAGCATTTTAGAGTTAGTCAAAATTTCATGTTCTAGATCAACATAATAGTAAACATAATTGATGTGTACAGAAATTATGCTTTCATCTGTTTGTAGCACAGTGAAGGTAGGTGTCAGAGCTGTGCTGAAGCAGGGCAGAGGAAATGAGAATCTTCCATGGAAACTAATCTGGAGAGGCTGTGCTTGTGACCTGTTGCAGTTTGGGATTTGGGTCTGCTGTGCATTTCACCCACTTTTCATCTCAATATCCCTAAGACCATCTCACAGCCTGCCCAGGAAAGCAGTGCATGCACATTTGCAATCTCTTGGATGTTTTGGTGACCATAAAAAAGCTGATCTTCTATCTATCACTGCTGTGGGACGTGGTTCTTCTGGCACACTAGGCACAAGGTGACATTGCAACAACTGTGTTTGCTCTGGTTGGGTCCCATAATTGCTACTTTAAAGTGGGCTATGCTCCTTCGGTGGAGCAGCCAAGGTACTCTCAGTGCTCATGTGGGCACTTACAGCACACACATACAGTACATAAACTTCACACAGAAGGGATGCAATCTCTTGCCTCTGTCCAATAAGGCTCAGTTTCTGTGATGCTTTGAACCCTGCTGTCCAAGGAGGCTCTCAAGAGACTGAGAAGAGATACAGATGTCCTCAGCTGCACTGAGGTCCCTTCCCTTTCCATCAGTCCCCCACTTGACGATTTCTGTTGTTGGTAGAGGTCGCAGGTCACAAGCACAGCCTCTCCAGATTAGTTTCCATGGAAGATTCTCATTTCCTCTGTCCTGCTTCAGCACAGCTCTGACACCTACCTTCATTGTGCTACAAACAGATGAAAGCATAATTTCTGTCCAGTTTGGTTTGCTGTTATTTTGGTTCTTTGCTGCTTGTTTGTTTGTTTGTTCATTTTCCAACTCCATTTAGGGGTTGCAAAGGGCACCAGGGCTATCAATCCCAATCCCTTTTCCCCCGCCATGCAGCCTTTCCAGCTTCCATTGGCCCATCACTGCCCAGTGAGGACTCTGGTTTCCATTTGTCCAGCTGGGCATTAGCAGAAGCTCTCTGGATAAGAAGCAAAGAAGAGATTTGGCTGGAGGGAAGTTATTACATATAAAGAGATGAAGGGGAAAAAAAAAAAAAAAAGAGAGAGAAAGGAAAAAGAAAATCTAATAATGCTCTAGCAAACTTCCTGGGGGAATGGAAAGAAGGGAAATAGACTTTCAAAGAACAGATGTGACTTGCAAGGCAAGCACTTGCACAGATCTGCTTCCATTTAGCAAGCAGTTGGTGTTGTTTCTGATATTCCTATCTTCCAGCTGCCTGTAACTACACCATCGCCAGGCCAGGGGCCAGCAGGATGGAGCGTGCCCAGCGTTCTTCATTGCCCCCAATGTAAAGTCTGAGTGCTCTGCATTAGCAGCAGTAGTTTGGACCTATCCCTTCAACTCTGCCCACCTCAGGATGGCCGTTGTGTTCCTATGACGCAGCCCTGGGAGGTGTAACATTGAACGATGGAAGTCAAGTTGAAAGAGATCTTAAACCTGGGTTGCCACCCAGGATATCAGGTAGCCATCAGTTACCCTTCCTTTGTCCACCAATGCTATCATCTCCCAAAGTGGCCCAGGTGAAGAGCTGGAAGGAGCTGAAGCTGGCCTCTTCCGTTGCTCTCATGATGAGTCCACAACATCCCAGGCTCTGACCATGGGACTTCTGCACAGTGATCCTATATTTGCCCAGCAGTTGCTGAGCTCTGACCTCGGCTGTGATGTACCACATAGTGCCAGGACCCCAGGATGCTACCAAGCATTGGATTCATAACTTCAGAGCCACACAGATGGTGAGAGATAACGTACAAGCAATAATAGATAGCTTTGTGTCTCCAATCAGTATTTATTTCCTTTTCTTCTTCCCTAAATTGTGAGTTCCTGAAAGTGTTGTCATGACTACTGAAGAGTGAACTTGACTCGCTTCGGCAGCCTTTGTTCCCTCCAAGTGAGCTGATCTAAAATTTGTCAAAACTCTCTTGTCGCTGGCTGCAAAAATATTGTATCTATTTCTTCAGAGGAGCTTCTTTTGCAAGTCTCTTTTAGCTGCACATAAAGGGCACGGCGAGAGTCCAAGCCTGCCATAATGCAGTGATTTTAATGCCTCTGGGTGCTCTCAGTTAATAAGTCTTGGATTGTTCCCTCGTTTCCAGCAATCTTTCTGTCACACATCAAAAGGTCAGTCTTCCGTGAGGTATTCTGTAATCTCTCTGCTCAGATGTGTTACAATATATTCTGATCAATGGCTAAAAATCGTGTATTTTTCTTTTAATGGAACATCCACTGGAGAATAAATTCTAAGAGGGCTTTCAGGAGCACTGAAATATGTATTGTGGTTTTGGCTCCAATTAATGCATGACATAATTCCACTGAAATCAGTGAAATAGCACTCTGGGATGCTTCTTGACTACTAATATCAAAGATGTATGGCTTTAGTTTATTCCTCCTTATTGCTTATCCTAAACCTGATCAAGTATTATCTCAGCCCTAGGTTGATCATGAGTAATCCTCAGGGGTACCATGTGGCTCAAACCCAACTCTTGCTGAGATCAGTGGACAGAAATGAAGAGAGCAGAGCTCACCAAGCCTGGGTGAGTACGTAAATTGCTGATCCTCCTGCGATGTCAGTGCATGTGGATAACAAGCAGGCTCCTTCCAAGGAAAGGGGAAGAGAAAAGAGAGGTGCACATACATAGCTGAGGGTGAACAGGGCAAGATATATGTCAGGACAGCCTAAGAGATGCATTATTCCTACTGCAAAAACGTTGTGGGAAATGTTGTGTCTTCAAATGGTAGTTTAGATTTCTGCAGAACAGATGAAACCCCCTTGGCAAATTCTCTTGGATTTAATGGAGATAATATAAGTTCAATCTCGTTCCATAAAAAAGATAAGTAGAAAGATGAAGAACATGCCTTTACTTCAAGATTTTCTTGTAGTGTTTCAGCTGCCTGGTGATATATATCACATGTATCACTTTATAGTACACAAAGATTTGTTTTCCTTTGGACTCCACAGCTTTCCACAGCTATATATTGATGCTAGTACTTCTCAGTTAGCTATTGACTTAAGCATTTTGACAGACAAAAACCAAAAAATTTGTCATAGTTTACTTTCTACAGGTGCCTTTTATCTTTTTTTGCTGTCGTTTTTGTTTTTCTTCACTACGTTTCTTTGCATTTAAGGATTCCTGATTCTTCCAAAACTGGGCACTCATGGGCCCAATAAAGCTGATGCGTTAAAATAGCATCCTGCCACACTGAAGATCTTGAGTCTTTTTCACAGTGCATTAATCCTGCCAGGATCTGAGTTTTGTAATGTATATCATAGAAGCAGGCATTCACTGACTATTAGCTGCATTGGGATTGGAAATGGCAGCTTTCTAGCGCTCTGATGGCCTTGGAGGCTGATGTGGCAGCACTTAATGTGCAGGCAAAAACTTCGCTTGGATGCCCAGCTGAAAGACAGTTCAGAAACACCCCCAGCACCAACAGCTTGCAGAGAAGATCCAAACACTTCCAACTTCACTCCCAACTCCTCACAGGCTCATTGTGCACACTGTGGGGACCAGTTGCTTGCCATCACCCGTGGCATCTGCCCTCCCTCGTTCTTCAGTGTTAGGATGCCATGGGAGAAATGAGAAAATCCTTTTTAATCCCAGGAGAGCACTTAATTTCAAAAATTCTCTGTCCTCCTGGTAGTAAAAATACCTTCTTGAAAGGTCGGTGGAAAAATTGCACCTCTATCAGATGAGCACTGAGATGGAGGGGCAATGGTGGCCGCCAAGCCTTAGAATGGGTTGGGTTATAAGAGATCTCAAGGATCATCTAGTTCCAACCCTCTTCTTTGCCTCATGTTTGGAGGAACCCACAGAAACGCTGTGAAATCACAGGATCTGTAAATGATTTAGCCTTGTTTTGTGCTAAAAGAAATAATCATTGATTCTTCCCCATGCTGGGACATTGCACCCACGTGGGGTAGGCTGATCTTCTGGACTCCCTCTTGTAGGTCTCATCATCCCTTGCTCCTTCCCTGTGTGGGAAAATGCTATAATTCACCTGTCCCTATTTCTGGATATATTCTCAGACACTGAAGATCTTGACCACTCACTGTTAATCAATAGAGCTGGAAAGTAGCCATCAGCCTATTACTGTTTCAAACTCCTTCAGAGCAAAAACTGTCTGGGAAAATGAACGGTAGAGATGAAATACATACATTTCTCTGGTAATATTTCAGAGGAAAGGGCACAGCAGTAGCTTTCCTTTTTAAGCCTGTACTCTATGTATGAAATATATTTGAGGGATTTGGAGAAGGAAGAAAAATTAAAATAATTAAGGAGCTGACAGAACTGATTTAGAGCTGGAAGAAAGGGGCAAAGGATTGAGAGTGTTCAATGTGGAGTACAGGCAGGGACACGAGGTGTCTGCAAGTGCAGCACGCTGCATCAGGCCCCATCCAAGTTCTGGTTCTGCTCCATGGACCCACATGCTGGAATCTGAATCCAGATTCCCACGAGCTCCAACTAGATGGGAAACCAGGCTTGGCTGCTGTGGTCTCAAAAGCCATCAAGACCCATTGCAAGTAGTATTACAGACCAGGGGTTGGAGATTTCCAGTGTTGCAGGGGCTCAAGGTCGGGTTCTGGCCCTCGAGAGAGGCTTTCAGGTGTGGTGTGCAGACACCATTCATAGGTGGAAGATGTGTAAACCTCTCCACAAGTAGCTGTTGCAGCAGGGAGATTATTTTAGGAAGCGCAGCAGTTACTGTCAGCATGTCTGTGCTCTAGTCAGCAGATGGAGGATGCATAATTTAAAACAGGAGTGACCAGATTAAGGTCTTTCCATCTGCCTTTCAAGTGCAGCAGTAGGAGGAATCTGCTCACATCAAATAAAACTCATCCAGCAGCTCTGCTTCCAATTGGCAAGCTGTGAAAGCCCAGCTCTTCAGAAGCTCTTCCCTCCTCTGTGAAAAGGGACAAACTTGTCTTTTCCATTTCATGCACCTCTTCATTCACTTTGTGCTGCTAGATTCAGAAGCAAGAGCCCTAACTTGACATCAGTCCTCACTTGGATTAGGAGCCCTGCCAACAGAAAAGCATTTGAGCAACTTTACACTGTGATAGGCAAGAGACCTTCACAAAAAGTAACTTAATTTCTTAATAACTGAGTGGTTGACCAGACCTTTCTCCTTTGCAAAAGCTAATTCTGTTACATGCATTTCACTGCAGAGGAGCATTCATTTGATTGCACATGAATCATTCCAGTGAGATCTGACATGAGAGCTGGCTGGACATCATCCACTGAAACGCTTGGAGTTTTCCCATGGAAGACGTTGTTTTACATCAAAGAGAGTCTGATTCCAGAGAAAGAAAATTGTAATGATTTTTTAATGAGGAGTGTTTTATGTGGAAGGCATTTAAACACACAACTTAGGAAATCTTAAAGGTCTGTTTGTAAGTATTTTCATAGAACTACTGAGATTGGAAAAAACCACCGAGATCACCAAACCCAACCCATCACCACCATGCTGACTAAACCATGTCCCCAAAGTGCCACATCAAGTCTTTTCTTGAAGTCATTTTCTAAATGGCTTTTGGATTACTTTGTAACATGACCATCTACTGACCCAAAACCTCCAAAAGCACTGATAATGTCCAAGTTGTGCTGTGCTGCATCTGAGCACCAGATCCTAAACAAACCATTTAATACCAGAGCTCCTCTGTAGCAGTGCTGTAAAGGCATCAAAGCTCTGGGCTCCAAGAACTTCTCACCTAATGGGAAAAACAGTAAGGAGGAGTGATGGATGTGGAGTAGACTTGGAATAGCAGGAGGTTTTGCATGGCTGTGCAAGCAAAAGGTGTGGTGGGACTCATTCAAGTGTGCCAAGGTACATGCATCCTTTGAGATCTGCCCTGCTCTTCTCTCTGCCTTTGCTTGTTTGACATTTTCTCCCCAAAATCAGTGTATTGCCTCTGCTTGACCATGTTTCCCATTGCCTATATGCCGTTCTTTCCTTTCACATGCTGGTTTACAGGAATTCCTCTGGAAGTGCTGCAGATGTGGCCATAACATCTATAACTTCTTGGGTCCTGACATTTGCAAGTCCTTCCAGCAACCAGGTAAGTGGGAACCTGCCTAAACATAGCTGCCTTTTGTAGTTACACCATCTGTAAAATGAACAGTCCCAGGTTTTCTGATGGCAGAGATCAATGTTTTACACAATTCTGCTGTTAGAGTCACTCTTTTCTATGGTGATATAGAAAAGTTCCAATGTAGGATAGTTAAAGGCAAAACAAAAGGCTTATTGCCATTGTGGACACCAGCAGGTCACATCAGGTCCGTTCCTGAAGGTTTTATGAGCTGGGACAGATAATTCTCCCCAGGACTGGGGATGGTCCTTGTAGAAGGAGAATGAATCAGAGAATCATAGGATTGATGGAATCATAGGATGGATGCAAGACCTCCCCAAAACCCCAGTCATCTATTGTTTTTACAAATGTCTCCAGGCTCTCTGTATCTAATAAGCATCTGGAGACAAAGATGCCATTTCTGCAGTGCTAAGTTTCACACCACACTTCGGGTGGTAATTTTGCTCATTTCCCTTAGCAAGATCAGCCCACATTCTCCTTTCTTTGCAATGTCTGTCTCCCTTCCAAGGAAGTGCTTTTCCTCTAATGTGATTAGGAGTGGTGCCCTGCAAGCGGGCTGCCAGGTACCCATTGGCACCCTGCCTAGAAAGCAAGAAGTTGGTGTGGAAAAGTGGATTTTCTGGTGGTGAGAGCAGACTGCACATTGTTCTCACTCCGAAATCCTTTTTGTGGCTGAAATATCTGTGTCGTGAGAGAGACAGAGATTCCCTCTCATCTTCACCCTGCTGCAAGGGTGTATTTTACATCGAGTGGGTTTATGAAGGTCGTTGTTCATTTTAGATCTGTTTGGCTACTTGAAAGCTGCTGTAGGCTATGATCCTTCTTTATGCCTTTTGCAGCTACTTGGCCATCTGGACAGCCCCAAAGAAGCATCTGTTCACTTTCTTTTCTTACTGGGATGGAGATACTCCTCTGTGAGCTACAAGCCTGTGGATTTTGTCCTGTAACTTTGACCCCACAGCGTGGTCATTCTGGTCACTAATAGGACTTGTTTGTTCAAAGTGGTATTTTAAACCTATTTCTGATGCCTGCTCCCAGAGAAAGCCTTAAATATTCACAGCTAGTTCCAAGCCTTTTCACAGCCTTTCATGCTTCCTAACTACTAGACAAAAAAATCTTTCTTTTTTTCTTATGTTCTGTCCTGCCCTTCCTTAGTGGATGTCAAGAGCATTCAGTCAGTCCTATATGTCACAATGCTTTAGCTACTGGGAAGCTGATCTTTTCCTGACCTCCAAGCCCCATCCCTTCTAAAATAAGTTATCTCAGTTCATTTTAACTGTCCTTGTGATCTGTGCTCCCTAGATGCATTAGTCTCCTTCCTGTTTGGGCAGAACATCCAGCTCCCCAAGGTCCCTTTCACTGGGAGGGACCCAAGCCTGGATGAAAAATATTCCATCCAAGACTGGGCTAACGTGAAGCCCATAGCAGACCCCCAAGATGAAAGCAGTCACTCACCTCCACCCCACAGCAAAAACAGCTAAAAGGAGAACTTTGACACAGTCTTCCTTAATTTTTTGTCCAAATAGTTCAAAGACTACATCAGCACTGCAGGTAACATAGTAGAGGACCAAAGGACCACCCTCCCGAATGAGGAGGCCAGCTACCTGGTTTAGGAATGTATGAATGCTGGCATGCCCAGGGATCCCATTTCCACTGAATCTTGCTGTTGGTTGCTTCTGCTAATTGCTTGAGACAACCTTCTCCTGTCACGGTGGCTGAATTGCTGGCAGGGTTTATTTCCCCTTTTATCTTCATCCATCTCTCTTTTCTTCCTGAACTGCAAAGCAAATACGTGCATCTTCATGCATAAAATAGCAGCTTCTCTTCCTTTCTCTCAGTGAAAATAATTCTCACTGTCTAAGAAACCCTTTATTGCCTCCAGGCCATCATGCTGGGGAACAGAAACATGGAAGAAGGACTGAGAGATTCACAAAGGTAGATATCGATACACTGAATGAGCCTGTTTGCCTTCACTTAGCTTAATTCCAATGTGCATGCTCCTTATAACCCAGTGCTGGGCCCTCGTGATGAGTCAATGTTATGATAGTAGGGTGAGTGGTAAGGTAGTGTAAGTGGTAGTTAGATACCAACAGAACAAGGTAGCTCAAAGGCATGAGAAGCCAGGCTGGCTTCTCCCTAGGATGCTCATTCCACAGAGAAATCTATGCTTTTCATCCTTTTGCACAGCAGAACCTTTCTCTGAGCTTCCAGAAACAAATTGCCATCTCCACTCTGGGCTGATGCCAACCCCCAGAAGAGCAGAGAAGGGGAAGAGACAGAAAGCAATTTCCAAAACCATGGCTTAGCCATGCCCAAGGCACTGTGAGCTCTCTGCAGGCACAACTGCTCCTCCAATAGATTCCTGCCCTGCAGTGCTTTGCATTCTTGCAATTGGAGAGTTTGTCCTAAAGAAGGACACTCTTCCTTTCCCTGAGAACATTTACAGCTGAAAGAATGATTTGAATTACAAGAGGTAATGGTCTCAATTTATGCCAGGGGAGGTTCAGGTTAGATATTAGGAAAAATTTGCCAGGCACAGGCTGCCCAGGGAGGTGATGGAGTCATCATCCCTGGAGGTGTTGCAGAGCTGTGGGAATGCAGCACTGAGGGCCATGAGGGCATGGTGGGGATGCTTGGACTCGGTGATCTTAGAGGTTTCTTCCAACCTGAGTGATTCTAAGAGGCCTGGAAAGAATTGCATAATAGTGGTGAGACTTCTTCCATCATTGTGAGGATTACTACATCTCTGGGATCCCGGAACTGTAGTGGCAAAGAATTTCAAACATCCCAGAAACACCAGGATCCAGGAACTCCATCCTGGCCAATGCTGGAGGCCCCTCTTGGTCCCCCTGGCCCTGCATTGCAGTCCTGTGCTGGGCTATGTCTATGGCTCTCTTGTACTGTGGACACAGAACCAGGTCCAGCACACCAGATGAGGCCTCAGCAGAGCTGAGCAGAGGGGAAGGATCACCTCCCTTAACCTGTTGGCCATGCTTGGCCTAATGAAACGGAGAATCCAGTTGGCAATGGAGAAAGAGGCTAAAGTGCTCGTGGGCTGGTGTGGTGGCTTCTTCCCACCATGACAGATGATGGCATCATGGTCCCCATCACCTCACAATGCCCATTGGTGACTGCAGCCTTTCTCTGTAACCCTGCATACCCTTCTGTCACACTCAAACACCCTTACAGTAATCCTGCATTCTCCTCAATTTCTTTTCTGCCCTCTGAAGAACTAAAACAGTTGCTCAATATGCATTCCTGGTGCTATAATGACTGCAGATACTCAAGTCTTGGGGGCTTTAGTGGGACTGTTTGATTATAACATCTGTGCACTAAAAACACAGGAGTGCCAGCAGTGAATCATGTGCACAGCGTGATGCTGGATGGGGCAGGAGCTGCTGAGCAGCTTGTTATGGGTTCAGTCCTGCTGTGCTGGAAGAAATTGGCTGCTTAACTCAGTGTTGGGTTTTACGTAGGCATGGTGGGTTTCCATCTGTTCTCCCATGCCATGTGTGGGTGCACTGCTGTAATTCCATCATCTGATGGGGTGTGGGGGATCTGAGGGCATGGTGGGATATTGGCACCATGCATTGGAAGGGTTGGAGGTTCCATTAAGCTGCAGATATCTCACACATAGGCAGGCAGCAAAGACTTTCTTCTCAGATGTCCCAAACAAACCTCTGGCTTCATTGTAAAAGCCCTGAAATCTGGATGAAGTTTGGTTTGGGAAGGCTTTCTTAGCTCTTTTCCCCTCTGGGGTCAAGTTGGTTGTCATCATGGAAGTTAGCTTAAAAAAAAATCAGATCTTCCATATATTCTTTTTATATTTCTGTGACTCCAGAGAAAGGACTTCTTTCTGATTTAGAGAGGAATGGATGCCCCATCCCTGGAGGCACTCCAGGTCGGGCTGGATGGGGCTCTGAACATCCTGTCGAGCTGTGGATTTCACTGTCCATTCATAGAATCATAGAATTACTCAGGTTGGAAGGGACCTCAAGGATCATCAAGTCCAACCACAGCCTAACATACTATGGTTAGTAGCTCTAACAACCCTCTGCTAAATCATATTTCCAAGCAGGGGTATTGGAACAGATGATCTTCAAGAGTCCCTTTCAACTCAAATGATTATTTGATTTGTGACCACTGTAAAAACTCTTGAAGAGAATCTTGGCTTTCCCCTGGAGCTCTGGTTCTCCCATGGCAGCTCTGCTGAACTCTGCTCTCTCCCTGTGTCCCTGGGAATACGTTCACTGTGGAAGACATGTAGTTGCACTCACAAGATTTCACTCAAAACTGACATATATAAATATGTACATAAATTATGTATACAAAAACGTGAACTCCAAATATGGCACAGAGC